AAAGAAAATAGATTATTTTCTAAACCATTCTCAGTTAATCTAAGTAAAACAATACAAATTAGGGCCACATTTACAAAATTAAATTTTTTCTACTTAAAAAACTCTTTTAGTGCTATGGGATAATATATTGGACTGCAAGATCAGTTTGAACTGCAAGGTCAGTGGTTCAAATTCACCAGTCGCTCCTTGGAAACCCTATACAGGGTCACTATGAGTTGTAACCGTCTTGACAGCACTTAACAACATAACCGTTAACACTGAGTCCTACCATTAATTATATAATTTGGCCAGAATGGAAACAATTCAAAATATTGCAAAGAGGGAGAGAAACAAACACATAGAAAGCATTAATTGGTGAAGTTCATTCTTTCTCAAAATAAAAATTCAACAGATTTAATTAAATAACAAAGGTGACAAAATGGACATAAAAGGAGTTCTTAATAAACAAAAAAAAAGGCCTACCAACCATTACAGATTCTTTCCATTTCTCATGAATCTCTTTAGCCAGAGTCAGGTCTATATGAACCACCCAATCCTCAACTGTTAGAGACTCTTATGAGTAGAGAAAAAAAAAGAAAATACAATCAATACTTGTAATACATTTGCAGAAATTTTAATCAATTACCTTAATCATAACACTCATGTACATTAATAGTAACTAACCCATACTTCTAGCAAATTTCTTGAAATATCTTTGTTTATATAATTATGCCACTGCTTGCACACGCTGAAACAATTACACATTTGTTTTTTCCATATACCCAATTTCTTCATCTCCACTAGTCAATACTGTTTTAATACATGTGAGTCCTGGTGTGGTGCTGTGGGTTAATGCGCTGTAAGGTCAGTTTGAACCACAAGGTTGGCAGTTCACACTCACAAGTTGCTATGTGTTGGAATTGACTCAACAGCATTTAATAACAACAACAATTTCTTTATCCCCACTAGGTGATAACCTTTGTAATGCATGTGTCCTACAGAATTAATTTCAAATGTATCTAGAGTAGCACCAAAGGACCAATAAATGAGGGTAAGATAAATATCAGAGAAAACTTTTCAATATATTTTTGGGTTACACACAAATTCCATATAAATATTCCCTATTTCTTCAAAATTACATTTCAAAAATAATTTTATAAACATGTTGCATCGAAAATACTGTTACTATTTGTGCATGTCAGGATACACAAGTAACTTACATTTCAGTTAACATGCATAATAATTTTATAATTAAAACAGAATCAGCTAATTTCTATTCACACTAAGTCATGCACGTAGGTGGTTTACTTTTTCTTACCTGAATCAATACCGACAGGGCCAAATAACTCAATGAGCTGAAAAGCCAGCTCAGGGGGTAATGCCAATTCCAGACAGTCTATGGTCAGAGATCTGGCCATCACTGGAGTGGGATTCAACATCTCAGTTCTATCTTCTTCACTAACTCCAGCTGACAAACTATTCCCTGCCATTAGCATTTTCTCCATTTCCTGCACATCTTCATCCATAAATTCTTCTTCTGTGTTTATCTGAAATTCCACATAATCCTTTGAAAGATTTTCATTTTTCTTTACCTCAAAAGGGTCAGTAAAATAAATTTCTTCATTTAATTCAAGATTTGAAGTGCTCGATACAGAGTTTAAAATATCAGACAAATTCAAAGAGGAATGTATACTGTCTCCAACCTCTGTGGCTACTAAACTTTTTTCCATTTTACTCACATCTTTAGAGGTAGTAGCTTTAAGAGTGTCTGCAAGAGACCACTTAATGTCATGTAACCCTGAAAACTCTTGCTGACTAAGCAGCAGTGGTTCAGTAGCATCTAGATCTACAACAGTATAAGCAGTGGAAGCCTGCTCTGAGTTTCCTCCCAATTCCCCATCACAGGTTGGATACTCATTAGAGTGACCCATAGCAGTTCCATGCCTAAATTCTGGCACAGGAGAATTACAACCCTCTACAGTCTTGCCTGGGCTAATAATTTCCTTCAAGTCCAATCCTAGAGAAGAGGGCCCAGTTTGTGATCCATCATTCGATGTTTGGAAATCATCGACGGCAGTATCCTCACATAAGTTAGTTTCGGAATCTAACAAAAGACTTGTGGCCCAAATAATATCCTTGTTACACCTCTCATATAAGTCTTTTAGGGCTTCTGATGAAAAGGATCCAAATATTTTACAAAGAATATTAAGATTTTCAGATTCATCAGCACTGGTAAGCTCACATTCTTCAACATACGTGCTTTTATCATGTGTTACTCTATATGGAATTGTTTCTTGAACGTCTGATTTTGTGTTAATAGTGAAGGCTTCTGGTTTAAATCCATCTAGTCTTCCTGTTAATACTCTGACAGATTCCGAAACACTAATTTTATTCTTTTCTATTTTCCATAAGAGAGCAAAATCCTTTGGCTCAGTCTGGGTACACATGCCTATTTCTATTCCAGGGGTGCTTTCGGAGTTCCCCTCTGGAAACTCAGCTACATGTGGCTCCGCTACTCCAGGAGCAACAGGCACATTGTTGGTGAAAGACAGACACAGTGCATGTTGCCCATGATTCTTTTCACTTAGACAAATCGCACTCTCCCAGCTCATCTCACTGGTCAGTGTTTCAGAGCTACCTAGAGCGGAGCTACTCAGTGTTTTCAGTTCTTCAGCACTTGTGCCCCAACACGTCTCATGTGCTGAATATAAGGACATTTCACTCTTATGGTCACAAATTCCAAATTCTACATCAGGACCATGGAAACGAGCCTTTAGCAATCTTGTTCTGGGTGGTCTCTGAGCTAAAGAATCATCAGATAAAGGCCAGTCACCCACAGTGCTGACTGAGCTCGATAAGTTTTTCTCAGTATTTGTATAAATATCATACTTGTACCTGAAGGATGCTGAAGCATCATCACACTGTGACTTCTTGTCATTTTCTACACTATCAAGTAGAGATTCTCGCAGCTGAATACACTCTATACCCAGAGATATATTATCACCTAGTAGGCTGTGTGACTGAAGGCAATTATACTCTTTGTCACTTTGTACAGATGGAGTTTTTTCAGTTTTTCGGTTCCTTTTTGTCCTCTGACCAATAGTCTTATCAACTGGCCAATCGCCAATGAAATGTGACAGCTCATACCCTGGGGACTTCTCCAAGGTTGATTTGCTTTGTTGTTTCCCATAAACTTTTTTCTTTACTGTGGCTGTTTCCTCCAGTACTTCACTGGGTAGAAAATAATTATTTTGAAGTGGTGTACTGCAGGCAAAACCACAGTTTTCTTGACTATTTTCATGACAGGAAATACTCGGTGATACTCTCTCTACCGAACTATCAACATCAGTTATACTATATTGTTTTTCAGAAGCCATTTCTACTTGCTCATCTTTTTCACCTTTGTCTATTACTTGTACTTTGCTTTCAGAGTCAGAAAAATACAATTCTGGACCTTCCTGTAGGAAAGCACACTGAATGTTATGGTTCATGCCACACGTTCCTCTTTTTCCTTTGTCTATAGCAGTAGTAAGAGGAAATGAAACATTCTCAAGTAACACAGTTTCATCGGTCCCTTCAAGTTTCTTCTCTTCAGTTAACTCTAGGTGCTTCAGAGATGAGGATAAAACACTTTCTTCTTTTGCGGAGGTAGTATCTTCATTGTCTTTTGGGCTGTAAGATTTTTTTAAAGAGTATCATAAAGAAGTCTCTTAATGTTGTCATTAATACTATGACTTAAATTAAAGCAGCATTCAATTGAAAGGCAGGGGCACTTAACATTTATTGTTGTTTAATTTTTTTAACTTAAAAATGTTTAAATTGCTTTTTAAATTCTAGAAATAAACTAGATTAAAATGATATTAGCTATTCTTAATCTTGCACTAATAAAGTATGAACCCCTTCCCTTTTGTTGTAACCACAGTACCTAGGCACAATGCTTGGCACATAGAAAGCACTCAAACTTTCTTCAAACTGAACAGTAAACATGTGATTTTAATTTTAGCTGCTGATTATACATTAAATGTTAAAGTTAAAGCTCTAAATCTTTTCCCAGGAGAGGACAACCATAGCTTCTTTCTAACCTAATTAAGCTTAATAGATTTGAGACGAGATCCTGCCTCTATACTACCTGTCATTTGCTATGTTGTTGTTTAAAGTGCCATCGAGTCAGTTCCGACTCATAGCAACCCTGCACAGAGTTCCCAAGGGGCAAATGGTGGGTTTGAACTGCCAACCTTGTGGTTCGCAGTCCAGTGCTGATCTTACAGCGCCATACCATTTGCTATAGAGGATTAATCATTAAACTTCATCTCCAAAGTCATACAGATCCTACCAATTATACAATAAAGAGGGTGAAAAGGAAAGGTTTCATTTGATATGCCATTAGTTAAATTATAAAGTGTGGCGCTGTGGGTTAATGCACCAGGCTGCAAAGCCATTTGACCTGCAAGGTCGGTGGTTCAAGCTCAAAAGCTGCTCCTTGGAAACCCTATACAGGGTCGCTATGGGTCGGAATCAACTCGACGGCACTTGACAACAACATCCTCAATATCAATGTCAGATTCAGAACACTCTTGCCTACCAAACCATTACACTTTCGACTTTAGTAGTTTTCCCTTGTACAGTTTGTCAGTTCTTCCTCTCTTACTTTACTCTAGGAGCTCTCCAAGTCACAGCTCTCCCATATAACCACCTAAGTGAAATTAAACACTGAGTTTTTCTAAGTGTCAAATACTATTTTAAGTCCTTTCTATATGCTAATTTATAATCTTTATGAGATGAATGTTGTTATTGCAATTTTATAAATGAATAGGCTGAGGTATATAAAGATTTTGTAACTTGTCAAAGATTACAGAGCATTAGGATTTGAACCCAGGAAGTATAGTTCAAGAGCCAAGCTTTTAACCACTTAGCTATACCATTCAATTAAAGAATGTTTATAAATTTTCCCTTCCCTACTTTCAAGTCTCCCTTTCTGTCATAAAATATGGACACATCAAACTGCAATATATATCTAAGGTTCAACTTTATTCACTTATTTATTCAATTGTTCACATGTCCTAAACATTAAAAGAATCAGTACTATTGGGACTATAAACTTCCAGAAGGCTGACTTACATTCCCATTAATGATTAATTTTTTTGGTGCTACTTGAAAAAAAAGCACTTTAACTGATATCTAAGAAAATTAAGAGGTGATCTGAGGATATATGAAATAAAAACAGAAGACATAGGAAAATACTACAAGACTAGCAGATTAAGTTACATAAAGAAGGCAGGAATATTCAAAGTATAATCATGGTCTCATAAAACCCTGAAGTCAATGAGAAAAACTCTCATATAAATTTTTACTTCGCTTGCTATACATCTCACTCCAAGTAATATTATGCCTAAACTCTTAAAAATAACAAAGGTCTAACTTATTTTTAAAATTAATTGGCAGTGATTTCCCAAGCTCCAAAATCATGTTTTTTCTTAATTATATTTCAAATTGTATTTTTTGTACATAAGGTGTTTTAACCTACCTGGTACTTCTGTCCTCACAAGAATGTGCACATGACTCAATACACTCAGCTCTCTCTGGAACCGAAGAACTCATGATTATTGGCACTGAAACAAATCGCTGATAGTGTTCCAACATTCTTGTTATTTTTTCTTTGCTTACTCCATGAATATTACGCCTGAAAATTCCAGGGGAAAAAAAGAGTACTACAAATATTGGCAACACAGATGCAAAATTATCTAGTTATACATTGTCAAAGAAAATACGGTATTTTTTTAATACATAAAAATATCAAAGCTAATCTATTATTTGGGATCCCAGAGGCTCTGTTGGATAAGCACTGGACTGTAAATCACAAGGTTGGCAGTTCAAACCCACCAGCTGCTCTGTGGATGAATGATAAGGCTTTCTGTTCCCGCAAAAATTGACAGTCTCGGAAACTCTATACAGGTTTACTATGAGTTGGAACCAACTCGAAGGCACTTAATAACAACAACAGTTTATTATGATACTAAATATACTATTTGATTCCAATTATCATTTTATTCAGGATTTCTTAAATTAACATTTTGTTAATCACGCCATATAATCTTTTCCAAATACCCTTATTAACTTAGAAAAAACTGGCAAATCCCAATAATCTTAAAAGAAGCTACTCTCAAACTAGGGAGAAAGATGAGGCTGTCTACTTGTGTAAAGATTTACAGTCTCAGAAACCCTACAGAGCAGTTCTACTCTGTTCTATAGAGTTGCTATGAGTTAGAATTGACTCAATGGCAATGTGTTTGGGGCTTTTATTCTCAATCTCTGCAAAAATCACACAAGATTGCAATTATCACTCATGGCTTTAATTATTAACTAGTGAGCAAAAAAATTCCACTACAGAAGTTTCTACTTCTAGTAATATACCAGACTAGATACTCCAAAGGGTCCTCCTATTGCAATAAAATTGGGTCCCAAGTGATATTTCTTACTGCATTTTAAATCAAAGGGGGAAAAAAAAATCCCTCATATAGTTTCTGGGTATCCAAACAGGAAGTTTATTATCTGTACTTTCATTCGCAGTCATTTATTTGCTTATGTGATTTTACTATGAACTCGTGTTTGGTTGAACGTAATATATGGACATTCTTAGGCCTTAAACTGGAATGCTTTCTTTCAAACAGCATTTAGAGTTACATCTACCAGGAGGCCCGATATGGCATGCATTAGTTCCTCAAGGGTCTTATCTTAATGAAAACATCTCAGTTGCAACTCTCCTATCTTGGATTGGATCCCAGTGCTAACACTAGCTTTTGCCACCTGGGCAAAACCAGCTTTCTATTTACTTACCTAAATTTTATCTGGCTTCAGATCATAGAGAAGCAAAGATATATAAATATGAAAGAGAGGTTAAGAGACATAGACATAGAAAATGAAATAAATAGGTCTAATATAAGTCTAATCTAAGTCCCAGAAGGAGAGAAGAGTGCATGGGAAAAACGCAGTTTAAAGAAAAATGGTTTAGAATTTTACAGAACTGATGAAAAACAGCAATCCCCTGATTTAAAAAGCCCAGAAAAAATCACAAACATGATAAATGATGAGAAATCAACTAGATACATAGTATTAAATCCTCATTCTCCAAAGACAGAGATGATATTAAAAGCAATCATAATTTAAAAAAAAAAAAAAAAAGGTCACATCATCTACAAAGGGACTAACCATTGGAATGAAGCTGACTTTACAACAATAAGGAAGTTAGAAGACAGTGAAATGTTATCTTCAAAAACTGAAAGTAACTGCCAATCTAGAATATCTATGCCTAACAAAAATATAAGAATGAGGAAATGAAAGGATTTTCACATTAAAAAAATAATAATAATTTGCCAACAAGTAGGACTTCACTAAAAAGAAAATTCTGAAAAACGAACATGAGGCATAAGGAAATTCCCAAATGAAGGGTCTATTATGCGAGGGAGAAAGAAAACCACAAAGTTGGCAACTCTATGAGTATGCAAAATCGAAGTTTGTATATTCTGGACAACAGCAAGTAAGTAGAAAGGGAGGTAAGCATCAGATTTGAAATGTTTGCAAGTCTTTGCATTTGTGAGGAGGCAGACTAAGAAAGAGTTTAACTTTAGACTTAACACTTACATATTTTATATGTTATCTTTTATAAGGTAATGACTAGAGGAATAAAAACAGTATGTATACTTTCCAGATTAGTAGAAAAGAAAAAATAAGAAAATTTGTAGTCAACCAATTCAAAAAAAAGAAAATCCAAAATAAGGTATGATATGGGAAAAACATCCAAATAGATCCTAAAAAGGTACTACAGGGAAAAAAGAAAAACCAATCTGAAAAAAAGTGCGATAAATAGAATACAGAGTGAGGCATAAGATAAGATTAATTATATAAATAACCACAGAAGAACTAAGTCTATCATCTGAAAACCAAAAATTGACAAGATTTTTCGAAACCTAGTTATTTTCTAGTTATGAGATAGACCTAAACATACACATATTGAAAAATTTACAGTAAAAGGATGGAACAAGATATAACACTAAATATCAATTAAAAGAAAGCTGATGTAGCTCTACTTATACTAGAAAAATTAAACTTTAAGACAAAAGCTAGCATTACAGGTAAGAGAAAATCATTGCAAAAGGATGAGATTCATTACAGTGATGTTGTTGTTAAGTGCTGTCGAGTTGATTCCGACCCACAGTGACCCTATACAGGGATTCCGAGGTTGTATATCTTTATGGAAGGAGAAAGCCTCATCTTTCTCCCGCGGAGCGGCTGGTTGTCTCAAACTGCTGACCTTAAGTTTCGCAGCCCGATTCATAACCACTACGCTACCAGAGCTTCTTCATTACAGTGATAGAACAATCCTAAATTTGTATGAACTTAAAGTATCTTTAGCATATATAAAGCAAAAATAGGCAAAAGAACAAAAAATTGCCATATCCCATGTAACAGAGAAAGATTTCAAAACACTTCTATTAAATATTGATCCATCAAATTGGTTTTTTTTTTAAGGTTTTATTGTGGATTGAGTGAAAGTTTTCAGGGCACATCATCGGTTTCACATTCAAACATTCATATACCTTGTTTCATTACATTGATTATAATCCCCTCCACATACCATCAGTTAA